CCCGAGAACGGTACAGCGGCAGAAGAAGAAGAGGGGAAGGGGCAGGCCGGCTGAGTGTCATGGATATGATGCTGGCCTTCAACGGAATACGTGTATGCCTAAGGATGTTGTGTATTCGTTGAGGTGTGCTGTCTGTGGCGAGGAATATGTCGGTGAGACTGAGCGGACGGCGAGGAAATGCAGCGAGGAGCACCACGGCCAGGCAAATAATGCCACACAGGGAAAGCCTTGGGGTGAACAGTACCGCAAGAAACACCACAGTTTCCCCGAGTCATCTTTGCCATTCTCCCAGGCCTCGATTCTTGCCCAGAGGCTGAGATCCTACGTGGACCGCCGAATCATGGAGGCCCTCTTCATGCGAAAGAGGAAACCGGCGGTGAATATGGACAAGGGCTGGCGTTTGTTGGGCGATGTTTAGGTTCTTGTGCGTTATTTGTCACTGATATATTCAGTTTGTGCTTTTTGTAACAGTACATACACATACACGCTTACTTTCGCTAGGGATGGTGTGATGCTACTGCTTGGTTGGGGGGAGGGGGGGGGACTGTAATGTTCTAGCCTGCTTCGTGTGTGTTTTCACTTCTCCTGTTGCTGCTTCTGCTGCTGCTGTTGCTGCTGGTTTTGTTCGCGCTATCCGTTTTCTTTTGGTGCTATTTGTCTCATCTTTTTTGTCAGATATAATAACCATAGTCTTTGTTCTGGATTTATTATTCCTGAAGATGGGCCTGGCCCGAAAATTTGGATATTTATTATTTTTGGAAGAATTTGTAGCCAAGAGACCGTTTTCGAGTACTGGTGTATAACTGTGTGAGATTGCCAATGCAAAAGCATTAGATAATATTGTAGTCATAATTAAAGCTCACCGTTCACTGTCAGTAAAGCGGATTGTTCAGCCCTTCCAGCTGCATTACTAGCAACACATGTGTATATCATTTCATCCGATAGAACTGCAAGACGATTGAACTGCAGTTGACTGGTGTAGGTAAAGTTAGCCATGGTTGCTATTGCAACCACTGATATCATAATTTCAGCGCCATTTGCATCCAGCAACATAACAGCTGGTTGAGGTTCAGCACGAATGACACAATTCAACGTTGGCATCAGCATGATGTCAGTCGTGACGGCATTGAACTCTGCTACTACTGGCGGAACTGGCAATATTGAATAATAACATACCAACCAAAGACGCAAACACATTTCAGATTACTAAACTATATGTATGAACTTCGCAGTATAGTTTTGTAAGAATTCACACACACACACACACACACACACGCACACACACACACACACACACACGCGCGCGCGCGCGCGTGCACACACACACACACACAAACACACACACACACCTTGGACCTTGGACCTTGGACGGGCTGCCATATTCTGGCTATGCGGACCCCATGGGGGGTTGAGCAGGTTCGGAACAGTAGGGGCGATGACGGGATAGGTACTGTTATTATATTTATTATTATTATTATTTTGCTTGTTCGCGTTGGCATCAACCTGCATAAAGCAGGTATATAGCCTTCGCTTAAGCTGCCATAAAAAAGAAAGCTCATCCTAAGCGAGAGGGCTAGAGGGAAATATAACGATAACGAGATACAGAATACAAAGAAATCCAATGAGTTCAACGTACAATTCAAAACAAGAAAGAAAGGGAAGAAAAACAGAGCCGAATCTACCGATTGATCCATCAATCGACAAAGGGGACTAATCCGTTAGTGTTGCAAAGTAGAAGCTGATTATAGTTGCAGATCTCCAGGCCAGGGCCAGCATATTGCCGATTCTGGATAGGTCTCCGCAGCATTTGATGTGGTAATTATCATAATGTTTGATAAAATTGTTAGAGTATCTAGTATCTAGAGTACCGAGTATCTAGTATCTAGAGTATCTAGTGTAATTGTATCCGTTATTATTGTTAAGGGTATCTAGTGTAATTGTATCCGTTATTATTGTTAAGGGTATCTAGTGTAATTGTATAACTTCAGCCAATACACACAGCACACATTAGTTCCTTCCACTTTCGACGATCCTGGGCGAGCTGCCTCAGTGCAACTAGATCCTCGTGTGATGTGAGGGAGTTTGTGGATCTGGAATTTTTCAGGTCGTTGTTGATGGATCGCGGGAGTGTTGTTCTCGGGCGGCCTCGGAACCCTGAGCTTCCTGGCTGAAAGTATGCTGACATAGCCTGCTGGACCGGGGATGAGGTGTCTAGTCGAAGCATGTGGCCAAACATTCTCCACCTAGCAGACTGGATGATTCTGCTGAGTGGCTTGGAGCCAGTGCGCTTGTACAGTGCTTCATTGCGTATTATACGGGGATATTTGACCCCTATGACTGCTCGTAACTGCTGGCGGTGGAACGAGTCAAGTTTCTTTTCTTGAGTCTCTGTCAGGCTCCATGTGCCGCAGTTATAAAGAAGTATTGGGAGAATAAAGCTGCCGTATAACCTAATCCGAAGGGGTTCATGGGCATGGTTACCTCTTAGCCATATCACCCACAGCTGATGTAAGGCGCATGTTGCTAGACGTTTTCTCCGACTGATATCTTCCTCCACTCCAAGCATCGATCCTAGTTTGACCGTGTTCCGCCATCGCTCGTCTACTCTGTCCTTTTCTCTTTTAATTGTAGTATATTCGGTTTTGGCTTCATTCATTTTTAGGTCCTGTGGTCTACTGAAACGCCGACCGCAATTGTAAACGATGCAGAAGGAGCTACGGTCTGTGTTGGTTGCTCTGGCCGAGCCACGGCTGCACTTGTGACGTTTCATGCCTTGGCGCGATAGCACACAGCGGTTGCAGCGGGCGCAGTGAAAGTTGCAGCGTTCGCAGGACATATTGTTTGTAACCGGTGACACACACACACACACACACACACACACACACACGCACACACATATATCAAAGGAGCCATTTAAACATCGCCACAACAATCAGGACCAGCTTTTTTGCTGTAAACATGGTATCGACTACACAAACAACCGATGTATCAGTTCATTACTCACCAGGTCATTTGAAAAGATCAGTATTCATTCGCAATGTAACAGTTCACCATTATTACCTACATGTATGTCTCCTTTATTCAGCTTTTTCGAAGGCGATAAAGGAGACTTTATTATTATTATGCGAAACAGTTGCTGTCCACAGACTTGAGTATTATTATAATTATTTAAAAATTAACGAGAGAGCTTGGAAGCTCAGGGCCCTACGCTATGCTTTTTTGCCTTGATGACCTAGACAAAAAAAGCATAGGGATGTTGTAAATTCTTATAAGTTTCTACTTTTTTTTTCAGGCATAACCTGGGATTCAAACCCGCACTATCGCCCTGCATGCATCCCCCGATACACTTCGCATACATACTAATTCTTCCAAGTTGCTTCACGTTACGATCTTGTATTTGAAAGCCCTATTTGAATATGCATTGTGGCCAGCCGTCTTTGATTGTACGGTACGGCACAGGATAGGTACGGGACAGGTACGAGACTGGTATGGAACTGGTACGAGACAGGTACGGGACAGGTACGGTCGAGGGTAATACGACACAGTCTACCGCCTTGATGACGGCAAAAAAAGAAAAGGTATGTTATGAATTTGTCAATTCTCCTATTTTTTCAGGCATTACCTGGGATTCGAACCCGCACTATCGCCCTACATGCATTCCCCCATACACATCGCATTCATACTCATTCTTCCAAGTTGCTTCACGTTATGATCTTGCGTTTGAAAGCCCTATTTGAGTATTGCGGCCTGCTGTATGTGGCCAGCTGTGTTTGATGGTACGGTACGGTACGGGACAGATACGGGATAGCGCCAGGCGTGACACAAACACACAAACACCAAATTAAAGCTGTGTGGACCCTGGCTAGCGCCAGACGTTACTGAAGTAACATCTTCTGCATAGCTACGGGAATAATTATCTCTATGGTGGTGAACCTTACTCTGAACCACAAAGCTGCCAGTGGCTTCAGCCGACCGTCTCAAACTGGCTTCTCTGTCCAGTGTAACATTACATGTGTATGATCCAGTATGTCTGGTGACAAAGGCTGAGGAAATCGTCAATAGAGACATGGTTGGTGACACCTGAGCGATAGCGTACTCTGCAGCTGGTATACTTCCACTGTCCCAGGCAAACATGAACGGTAGAGTACCGGCTGTTGCTTCGCAGGTGAACACTGCCTGTTGTGTCTCATTCACCGTCTGAGTCGGCGGTGTTACGGTAACCATGGGTGGAACTGCACGCCGAGAACAACAGGAAAAGAAACAAGACACAGTCATTCCACTGTAGACATACAAACGTTACGTACTGATGAACTATTCCGGACATGCAAGGGCCATACAACGTCCTGCGTACAGAGTCCCTGCCCTGCCAATCGAGTGCACTACAATCTGATTGAAAACAGATAGTCACTCGTCACATCATGTTCGTGATTGTCATGCACAGAATGTGATTGAATGACCCGCACATAATCATTGCCTGGAGAACACCAACTGCAAGGAAATGTCTACCATAATACGAAGGTGAGACTTCTTCGCTTCTAGATGATATTCGATTTTCACGAAAATGAAGTCAGTAGCGACTAGAGGGTTCGTAAAGGCACATTTTGCCTGGGGTGAAGTCGGGGGTACGTCCACATATGTTGCATTTTGCAGGGTAAGACAACGTTTTGAAAATGGAAAAATGAGTTATGGAGTGACTGCTTCCCCAGCCCGCTACCCCCTCTCCCCCTACTATTGTGACCTGGCTAGAACCTGATTACAAAGAATTTGTAAAGAGCCGTTTCGGAGAAAAAAGTTTCAAGCAATGAATAAAAAAAATTGAAGCTGACATGATACCATGATGGACTAATAAAACACAGATTATAATGTGAAGTCGAATTCAGAAACGTTTTTCTTCGATGGTCATCAGTGAACATACATTGAATATTGTATATGAGAAAACAGACCAGAATATAAATACATGTATGCTCAAACTAAGATTAGTGTTCATTGAAGGTTACAAAGTGACTACAGTAACAACAAGGCTGCTCACACCATTGTGACAATACATTCACCCTATGGTAACCAGTTATATGGGTTATAATAAAATGACTTACCAAGGGCAGAAAGTGAAGCTGTACTCCTTGGCTCACCATCCGAGTGCTACCCAGTAATCGAGTTATAATACGATGACTTACCAAGGACAGTGAGTGAAGCTGTACTCCTTCGCTCACCATCCGAGTACTACCCAGTAATGGAGTTATAATAATTATGATGACTTACCAAGGACAGTGAGTGAAGCTGTACCCGTGACGATATTGACAGAGTTCACGGCATTGCAGGTATACATGCCAGCGTCAGCTGGTACGTTATTGCTAATGAACGACAGGATGCCGACCTGAATCATGCTGTCCGAGGCGTCCGGACCAGTCGCATCTGTGAATGCCGTGACAACTCCCGGCGGTGGGGTCCAGGTGATCATGGCCAGGGGCTTGGCGCGCACTCGGCATACCAGCTGAGCCATTTGGTCAGTGACTATGGTGACGTCGTCCAGTTGGACAATCGACGGAGCCTCTGTGTGTACGGCGGAGGTGGGTACAGTGAAGAATAGAGCAAGTATATGCAACAGCAGAATTGAGTGAAGTCTGGGGGTAAGTCATAACTGCACTCGGAGCAAGCCTAGCGGAAACAGGAGGGCATTCATCACTTTAATCTTGCAGGTTGTTTCCATTTCACAGAAGAAAAAAATAATGATACTTTATTAAAGTCAACAGGAGAGCAGGGTGAAGAGAGAGAGAGAGAGAGAGAGAGAGAGAGAGAGAGAGAGAGAAGAAAGAAAGAGAGAGAGAAACACACACACATGTATGTGCATACACGCACACACACACACACACACACACACACACACACACACACACACACATACACACATACACATACACACACATACACACACAAACACACACACACACACACATACACACACATACACACACAAACACCTCACCTCACCTCAGACCTGCCCATCGCGGAAGCGATGATAGCGAACAGCTATGTTAGACATAGCAACTTGTGCTGGGATTACACCATTCAACAGCTTGCAAGGCTGATGAATTGACCGCCACTATTTTTAGCCTGGTATCCACCACACAGCTGATTGAAGTGACTTTTTCTGGCCAGTGAATCCCTAGTTTTCATTTTTCCATTTTTTCTTTTTTTTCTCTCTTTTCTTTTTTTCTACACACACACACCACACCACATACTCCGGCATACACTGGCTGTTGGTAACCACCCAGGAGAATGAAAGAAAAGTCAGGAAGAGTCCGAGAAAGAGAAGAAAGACGTGTGCGACCATAATCGTCGGGAATTGAACCCGCAACCTCTCGATTGGAAATCGACTGCACATACCAATGCACCATATTGACACACACCTCAGACCTCAGACATGCCCATCGCGGAAGCGATGATAGCGAACAGCTATGTTAGACATAGCGACTTGTGCTGGGATTACACCATTCAACAGCTTGCAAGGCTAATGAATTGACCGCCACTATTTTTAGCCTGGTATCCACCACACAGCTGTTTGAAGTGACTTTTTCTGGCCAGTGAATCCCTATTTTTTCATTTTTCCATTTTCCATTTTTTCTTTTTCTACACACACACACCACACCACATACTCCGGCATACACTGGCTGTTGGTAACCACCCAGGAGAATGAAAGAAAAGTCAGGAAGAGTCTGAGAAAGAGAAGAAAGACGTGTGCGACCATAATCGTCGGGAATTGAACCCGCAACCTCTCGATTGGAAATCGACTGCACATACCAATGCACCATATTGACACACACACACACATACACACACACAAGGCAACACAATGAAGTAGTTGCAAGGCAGATTACCAACGTCCGAGCATAAGATTACGATTTCACAATCGAAACTCACCGTTCACTGTCAGCATAGCAGATTGTTCGGCTCTTCCAGCTGCATTACTAGCAACACATGTGTACATCATTTCATCTAATAATGCAGCGAGACGATTGAACTGCAGCTGACTGGTGTATGTAAAGTTAGCCATGGGTGCTAGGGCAGCCACTGTAAAGTCAGATGACGTAATGTCAGCACCATTCGCATCCAGCCACATCACAGACGGTTGAGGTTCAGCACGAACGACACAAGTCAACGTCGGCATAAGCGAGATGTCCGTTGTGACAGCATTAAACTCTGTTATTACCGGAGGAACTGTAAAAATCAAATATTCAAACACACGCACAAACACGTACCCAAGGTAACGAATGTAAGTGAACACAAATAGTATCTGGTCGGATATGTAAGCAAGTAAACAGACGTCAAAGCTGAAGAGAGTATGGTGTGGTGTATGAGGTAAACAAATCTTCTTGGCAAGAGTGAGAGAGAGAGAGCTCTTCATCATTTTGTCGGAACTAGGTCCCCGGACCTGGTGAGAAGGCCTGTCCACTTGGTGAAGTAAAATAATATTTTACTTCACCAAGTGGACAGGCCTTCTCACCTTCTCATAAACAAACAAACAAACAAACAAACAGACAGATCTAATGGACTAGAGGCATTGCCAGAAACGACTTTTAAATGCATATCAGTTTCAGGCGAGTCAAAGGAGTAAGAAAAATGTCCTTCATACCACAGGTAAGAAGAAAGTGTAGAACAACTTTGTTCTTTCCCATTGAGAGGCCGTTGGAAAAGTGTTGTTGGGATGTATGGCTACAAGTAAAGTAACCATGTAAGTCTGTAACTAACTACTCCCTCTCCCCCCCCTCCCCCCCCCCCCCCCCAGTGCCAGAAAAGCGGTATATAGTGGCAGGCGGTCCTTAGTTAGAGGTATGCATAGCACTAGCATAATAATTATGTGAATGTGAGACCGTCCGTGCCTGGCAAAGCGGTCTCTGGTACCAGGCTGGTCGCTAGTCACAGTGGTCTTTAGTTACAGGTTTTACTGTAGTACCAGGCTGGTCGCTAGTCACAGTGGTCTTTAGTTACAGGTTTTACTGTAGTACCAGGCTGGTCGCTAGTCACGGTGGTCTTTAGTTACAGGTTTTACTGTAGTACCAGGCTGGTTGCTAGTCACGGTGGTCTTTAGTTACAGGTTTTACTGTAGTACCAGGCTGGTTGCTAGTCACAGTGGTCTTTAGTTACAGGTTTTACTCTACTAGTATAAGGGAACGACTATTCGTTCCTCGTATTCACTATTTGTCAGACCAAGTTTAAACTTACTCTGGACCACTAAGCTGCCAGTGGCTTCAGCCGACCGTCTCAAACTGGCTTCTCTGCCCAGTGTAACATTACATGTGTATGATCCAGTATGTGTGTTGACAAAGGCTGCCGAAATTGTCAACGTGGATATTGTCGGTGAAAGCTGAGCGATAGCGTACTCTGTAGACGGGATACTACCACTGTCCCAGGCAAACGTGAACGGTGGAGTGCCGGCTGTCAGTTCACATGTGAACACCGCCTGTTGTGTCTCGTTCGCGGTCTGAGTCAGCGGTGTTACGGTAACCATGGGTGGAACTGCACGCCGAGAACAACAGGAAAAGAAACAAGACACAGTCATTCCACTGTAGACATACATACTCTGAAAATTATTGCCAGAGTACCTATTTGAACTAAAGTCCAGTCAACAATATACATACTTGCCGTCAACAGCCACACCAGTGAACTAGGACAACTGTACATTCCGCAGGAGCGGATCCAAAGATCTCTACAGGGGGCTTCCAGTTTAGCCAAAACTGAATAGCTGATATATTTACATGTGCATGCACATGCATATTGTTTCCGCAGGAGTACATTTGCGAAATTTAGGGTGTTTTTTGGCGGGTTTCCCTCCCCTCCTGGATCCGTCCCTGTACCAGTGCATCCACGTAGGACCATGTGGAGTAATAAAATAACAACTCACCCAGCACTGTGAGGTATGCCGTGGCCACGGAAATGCTAACTGAGTTCATGGTCGTGCAAGCGTAGGCTCCCGCGTCTTCCAGTACATTATTAACACTGTATTCAAGAAAACTAACTGATTCCAAAGGATCGCCAGACGACAGAACCAGAGTCCTAAATCTGCTTGACGGGACAGAGGCCGGGGCGCTCTGCGTTACAGCTGGTCGGGGTTTGCCCCGTACCCGACAATACAGGACTGCTCGTTGATCCGTAAATACGGTCACGTTGTTGTGCTCTAAGATCTCCGGAGCAACTGCAAAAAGGAGAAGTTCAAGAATGTGCAATCGGAAGCGTGAAAAAATAATTATAATTGATCATCATAAATAGAGTTGTGAACGGTAGAATATTGTTCAATGTGTCAGCTGAGAGGGCATGGAGGAGATGAGGAGGAGAGATTGTTGCATTCCTGATCATCGTGATCATCTAGAACTGTTGCACTTGCTATAATCTGAACACCGTACGTAATGGGAGCAATCACACCACTAGCTAGTCTAATACTATGTTCGATTGCTTGGATCCGGATCCAGATCGATTGGTTGGATCCGGATCCAGATCGATTGTTCGGATTCGGATCCAGATCGATTGGTTGGATCCGGATCCAGATCGATTGTTTGGATCCGGATCCAGATTTGATTGGTTGGATCCCGATCCAGATCGATTGAGTGAATCCGGATCCAGATCAATTGAGTGGATCCTTTGGATCCAGCAAGTTTCAACCACGTACAACCAAACCTGAAGGCTTGAGATCCCTGGACAACGAGGCTGAGTTCCCCTGATTTTGACCGTTTCCCCTGGTCACCAATTTGTTTAGTGCACGCATCATCAGCAGATGTATTTTTTTTTCATGACTGCTGCTCAAGACAAAAAGGATATGGATCCAGATTGATTGGTTGGATTCGGATCCAGATCCATTGGTTGGGTCCGGATCCAGATCAATTGGTCAGTGGATCCGGATCCAGATCGATTGAGTGGATCCGGATCCAGATCAATTGAGTGGATCCTTTGGATCCAGCAAGTTGCAACCACACCAATTTGTTCAGCGCACGCATCATCAGGAGATGTATATATATATTTTTTTTTCATGACTGCTGCTCAAGCCAAAAAAAGGTTGTCTTTGCATTGACCTAGTCGTAACTGCACAAGTAAAAAAATTCTGTTGACTACCGGCAATCCATTGCAGTTCCACATGCAGTTTTTCGTCTTGCAGTGTTGCTTCAGCTCATTCTTACCGCCAACAGACATGACTCGACCCCCTCCCCCCTGCAAAACACGTAGCTCTTGCCCATAGACCTCCGTCTAACGCTGTATTTGCGAATCCAATCCTCCTTGAAAGAAAAACTCCCTCCTCTCTTTTTTGGCGGATACTGTCTGGGTCATAGTTGACGACTGCCTCTTTCGACTACAAGTACATAAACATGTAGGAGCAACACGAGGACGAACTCTAGAGTCCAATGCTTAGCTGCAAGTACTGTAGATTTCTATCCTCAAATGAGTTGCACCGGGGGACACGAGCGCTTGCGCAGTGTCTACTACGTTCTGTGTGTACTTACAACGGACCTAGTACGGAGAAACACTGAAAATCGTCATGCAAAGGGGAAAACATCGATTTCGACCCCGGACAAACACCCTATTCCCTGGACGGTCCCGGGAAACCCGGGACGGTCGCCATATATGTCCAGTCATGTGACCCAGTCATCTGATCCAGTCATGCGATCCAGTCATGCAATTCAGTCATGTGACCGAATAATTATTGGGACCGAGTCATATGAAAAAGGATCCGCCCCTTTACCATCATGCGACCCAGTCATGCGGCCCAGTCATCCAGGCCAGTCATGTGACCCAGGCATATGAGTCATGACTCATGAGACCCATGAGACCTTGTGAGCAAGTCATAATTATGACAACGGCTTGGAACTAAGACATGTGGTCAAATCTTGTGACCTAAACGAGAGAGCTTGGAAGCTCAGGGCCCTACGCTATGCTTTTTCCCTTGATGACCTACGCCAAAAAAAGCATAGTAAATGTTTCATTTCTACTTTTTTTTCAAGACATAACCTGGGATTCGAACCCGCACTATCGCCCTGCATGAATCCCCCGATACACTTCGCATACATACTAATTCTTCCAAGTTGCTTCACATTATGATATTGCATTTGAAAGCCCTATTTGAATATTGTGGCCAGCTGTTTGTGGCCAGCCGTCTTTGATGGTACGGTACCGTACGGTTCGAAACAGGTGCGGTCGAGGGTAATACGACACCGTCTACCACCTTGATGACCTAGGCAAAAAAGCATAGGGATGTTATAAATTTTTCAATTCTCCTATTTTTTCAAGGCATACCCTGGGATTTGAATCTGCACAATCGCCCTACATGCATTACCCGATACACTTCGCATTCATACTCATCCTTCCAAGTTGCTTCACGTTATGATCTTGCATTTGAAAGCCCTATTTGAATATTGTGGCCAGCTGTTTGTGGCCAGCTGTCTTTGATGGTACGGTACGGTACAGGACAGATGCGGGATAGCGCCAGACGGAGATCCGTCCGCCACAAACAAACAAACACCAAATTAATGCTGTGTGGACCCTGGCTAGCGCCAGACGTTACTGAAGTAACGTCTTCAGCATAGCTACGGGAATAAACGAGAGAGCTTGGAAGCTCAGGGCCCTACGCTATGCTTTTTGGCCTTGATGACCTAGACAAAAAAGCATAGGGATGTTATAAATTCTTATAAATTTCTACTTTTTGTTTTTAGACATAACCTGGGATTCGAACCCGCACTATCGCCCTGCATGCATCCCCGATACACTTCACATACATACTAATTCTTCCAAGTTGCTTCACGTTATGATCTTGTATTTGAAAGCCCTATTTGAATATGCATTGTGGCCAGCCGTCTTTGATTGTACGGTACGGTACGGGACAGGTAAGGTCGAGGGTAATACGACACCATCTACCGCCTTGATGACCGCAAAAAAGAATAGAGATGTTATAATTTTTTTTAATTTTCCTATTTTTTTTTTCAGGCATTACGAGTACCTGGGATTCGAACCCGCACTATCGCCCTACATGTATTCCCCCATACACTTCGCATTCATACTCATTCTTCCAAGTTGCTTCACGTTATGATCTTGCGTTTGAAAGCCCTATTTGAATAGTGCTGGCAGCTGTATGTGGCCAGCTGTGTTTGATGGTACGGTACGGTACGGGACAGATACGGGATAGCGCCAGGCGTGACACAAACACACAAACACCAAATTAAAGCTGTGTGGACCCTGGCTAGCGCCAGACGTTACTGAAGTAACGTCTTCTGCATAGCTACGGGAATTAATTGTCCTATAAGGGTAACACATCCTGAAATGAGGTTCCCTCTTGCATTCACCAGGGAAACGAGCTGCCACCAAACTCACCGTTCACTGTCAGCATAGCGGACTGTTCTGCTCTTCCAGCTGCATTACTAGCAACACATGTGTACATCCTTTCATCCGATAGAAAAGCCAGACGATTGAACTGCAGCTGACTGGTGTATGTAAAGTTAGCCATGGGTGCTGGGGCAACCACTGTGAAGTCAGATGACGTAATTTCAGCACCGTTCGCATCAAACCACATCACAGTCGGTTGAGGTTCAGCACGAATGACACACGTCAATGTCGGCATAAGCGTGATGTCAGTCGTGACAGGACTGAAGTCTGCTATTACCGGTAGAACTGCATCACGGAGAGAAAATCCGGAGAACAACCAGTAGGAAAATACAGTCAGACCTCGCATAACCGCACACATTCGTTTTCCACAAAAAAATCCGGATAGGTGAGGGAACCGGATAATCGGAAACACATGCTATACTGGTATGTATGCATGACATTATGTTGAAAATCGATAACCAACGATTTTCTTCCGGATGGCGGGGGATCCGGATAAAAGAGGTCTGACTGTACACCAATGGTTATATATCCGTGTACGCGACATGCCATGAATTACTGTTAACATTCTACTCCCCATGCTAGAGTATAGAGTAGACACACACGCGTGCAGGACGCAACACACCAAAAGACAAGAGAGTGAGTTTGGAAGAATGGGAAGGTCGGGCAGAGTAGCTGGCCTCAATTGAGTGCGCGTTAACGAATCGTGTGGTCGGCCTACCGAGGGCAGGAGCTGTATATGACCAAGTGGGTCGGCCTGCGCTGAGCAGGAGCGGTTTGTGACCCATGCGAGTTGGTGGGTCAGCCTGCGTTGAGCAGGAGCGGTTTATGACCCATGTGAGTTTAATAGTAGTGGGCGAGAGGCCGGTTACGGAGGGATGCCCGCATCCGTGTGTTTCAATATTATGTGGAGTGTAAGAGTAAGAAATGGGATGAGGAGGGTGGGTCAGAATTTGAAAGCTGACTACAGGCAAGGAAACTAGAAAGACAGCAAGCTCTGTTGTGTGCACAGGAAATCTGCACATGCTCAGAGCATGGGCATGTGATGTCTATGATACACAGCAGTATGTAGAGAGAGCAAGATTGTGCACACACGTAAGGAGGGTTATGCAACCCGTTATAAAGGCCAACAGTGAAGCAATGGTACATGACTGTTAACAACGGTTAACTCCTACGTTAACTGAACATTTAAAATTCTTCTCCCCATGCTAGAGTATAGAGTAGACAAACACGCGTGCAGGACGCAACACACCAAAAGACAAGACAGTGAGTTTGGAAGAATGGGAATGTCGGGCAGAGTAGCTGGCCTCAATTGAGTGCGCGTTAACGAATCGTGTGGTCCGCCTACCAAGGGCAGGAGCTGTATATGACCAAGTGGGTTGGCCTGCGCTGAGCAGGAGCGGTTTGTGACCCATGCGAGTTGGTGAGTCGCCCTGCGTTGAGTAGGAGCCGCTTATGACCCATGCGAGTTTAATAGTAGTGCGCAAGAGGCCAGTTACGGAGGAGTGCTCATGCCGACATTCCCATTAGGGCCAGAGGAGATAGCGGGTGATAACAACCAATAATATATATGGTAAGTATGTATTGCACAAGGGCATTGTTCTAGAGGCATAAAGACAGACTGATATTCTGGAGAAATATCGACAGAGAACGCTATCTGCATCCTAAGTGAATGTCTTTGCACTTACTCGGTGATCGGCTGGACCTCGTGTCAGGCCGCTCCGCAGCTGTAGGAGCAAAGGTCCTGGAGGCATCCATCTTGTTCCGGGACAGGGCATCAGCGATGGTATTGGAAATTCCTGGCAGGTGCGATGCTCGGATCAGGAAATTGTGCTTCACACAGACTGAGTACAGGGTGCGGATGAGTGCCATGACTGCAGGAGACCGTCTCGTGCCCGTCTTCAGGCACTCCACAACAGCTTGGTTGTCGCACTGAAACTCTACACGCAGCCGCAGCCACTCGATCCCCCATGTGACACAGGCCGCGACAATGGCGAAGAGCTCCTTGTAGGCAATGCTTAGTTCCAGTTGGTGCGGGGACCAGTCACCTCTGAACCAGTGACCATTGAAGAAGGCTCCAAATCCAATGGTGCCGCTTGCAACTGGAGGTCAGCGCTAGGCATCCACTTCTCTAGCAGGAAAAATGACTTTCCGTTCCATGTTGACAGAGTCTGGTGCCACCAGCTCAGGTCATCCTTGGCTGAGGCTGAGAGGTGCAGCATTCAAGGAGCTTGGTGGGCAGATGTCGAGGAAGTCATCGAGGTAATGCATTACGTTGGGCAAGGAGCCGACATGGACAAGGACCCAGTTGATAGCCGTTGCCAGCTGGTTGAAGATGAATGGTGAGGAGCGGAGACCAAATGGAAGGACCTTCTCGTAATAGTACATGCCGTTCCAACGGATGCCGAGAAGATGCCAGTCCGAGGGGGCGACGGGACACAGGCGAAATGCATTACGGATGTCTACCTTTGTCAAGAGGGATCCCTTGCCGAGTCGCATAATGGCGGCGATTGCGGTGTCCACGGTGTGGTAATGCAGGCTGAACTGCCCGCGTGATAGCATCGTTGACACTGCTGCCATCGGGAGACGACAGGTCATGTATCACACGTCGTTTTCCATTGGACTTCGGCACAACACCCGGACCAGATGTTTGCATGCACAGAAAGGGTGGCTCCAGAAATGGACCTGCTGTTTGCCCAGCTTCACAACATTCGGTCAAATAGGAAGAAACATACTGCATATTACGGATGGCAGACAGGTGATTGGGAGAACTATGAACACCAGATATAGCAGCAGAATGGCCTATCGTGAAACCATGACACAACCTATGCAACACAAAGTGAGAGAAGGAGTGATCAGAATGACGGTTAAGGAGCCCGGCTAATCGGCTAATATTGATGGGGTCTCCACAGAATGTTTACGGAGCAGACGCTGAGGTGGAGGACTGTCCAATACCACATTTGACTTATGGGTGCTTCCCACGGCATTGAAGGCACACGTTGACACAATAGAAAAATGAGTTGTTGCACTGGTCCCTGTTGAAGTTGCGGCAGATAGGCTTCCCAAGGTGGGTTGTCACGCTGGACTGCGGCAGAAGCCATGGCACTCTACTTCAATCCACCGAACACAGCCAAGCCAGGAAGACCTCTGACTACTTTAGTCACCCAGATCCAGCAAGACTGCGTCCACAGACAAACGCCACTCAAGAGGAGCCCGCATCTGCAGAGCCTCCGGCAGAAGGCATCCGACAGGCAAGTGTGGAAGGCCTTCGTAAAAAACGCACAGTGAACACTGACGAAACAGAAGTTGCCCATCCTTCTCAGTGCTATTTGCTTATTGTCGATTTGTAAACCGTACCTTGCAGTCCATGTCTTCCCTTGTCATCATCATAATAGTATAGTTTTGTCTCTCTCCTTCTATTGCTCAGGAACACAGAGGCGGAAAGAGGCTGGTCCTCAAGTACGCGAAACTGTTCATAATAATAATAATAATACTGCGGCAGACCTACACTCCCAACGGATGGAGGCCCTGGTCTAAAGGGACACCGGGCCTGGGCCACTGGGTGCACCAGAGAACAGGGCGAACATGGCGACCACGGCTGGTGAATGACGACTGCCACAAATTAGAGTCGATGATAGCCCAGTCATACGACAGTGGTTGGGCGGCTATGGCGCACCGGAAACGCCTGTCATAACTTAGCCATGCGTTCACATGAGTTATTTGCATCCAGAATAGTGGCCTGATATGCCTGAAAATCATTTGCCCTATCTGGAGCAGCCGCGACAATTACTCTTGTGTAGACAGTAAACACCTCGAGCAATGATGCTACATCGTGGACATGGCGGCGCTGGGCCTGAGTTGGCTTCTGTACAAGTTGGACAGAGCGGTTGGCCCCCACAGCTAGCTGGACCACATCAGGCTCCACACCCAGCTGGTCCGGGAGGAGGTCGTCGAAATCAATAAACTCGCCGCGTTCAATTCTCCCGCGGAGTTTATCAGGTACAGAGAGCGACGGACGAGCAGCCGGCGGATGGCCCAATGCATGAACGGAGCTGGAGTTGACAGGCGGCACGACGGCTGAAACAGATTCCAACTGCTCTACTTGCTCCATCAGGGGCTGGAGGACCTAGCCGACGGCCTGAGAAACAGCCGAAGCAAGTACATCAGGGGCCACACTCAAGGCGGCGGCAGATGAAACTGACGGCGCAACATCGGAGACAACAGAGGCCGTGGAGGAAGATAATGGAGTCCCGGTTGGTTGACGACGAACAGGAGATGGCCTCACACGTGCATTACTGCCTGCAGCCGAAATTTGAGTTGCCGCACCGGGATCGGGGGCCAAATTCAAGGCGCTGCCAGAAGAAACTGACGGCGCAACGTCGGAGACAAAAGAATCTGAGTGGGGAGGTATTGGAGTTCTGGGCGGGAACAGGATTTCGCCGCACACGCACATTACGTCCTGTATCCGAAGATTGAGCTGCCACTCTGGCCGATGGCGTCTTTTGTCTGGTCGACAAACGAGCCATCGTGAGAATATAATACTCAAATAATCTCTGGCCGCTGAAGACACGTAGTCTGACGAGACTGAGCTGAGAGAGAACAAGGAAAGCGAATACTAAAGACGGCAAGACGGCAGCGAATCGGCAGAACTAGAACTGACACTCTGAAGCAGGACGGAGTCAACCTCAAATCAGAATTTGAAAGCTGACTTCAGAATTTGAAAGCTGACTGTAGGCAAGGAAACTGGAAAGACAGCAAGCTCTGTTGTGCGCACAGGAAATCTGCGCATGAGCAGAGCGTGGGCATGTGATGTCTATGATACACAGCAGTATGTAGAGAGAGCAAGATCGTGCACACATGTAAGGAGGGTTATGCAACCCGTTATAAAGGCCAACAGCGAAGCAATGGTACGTGACTATTAACAACGGTTAACTCCTACGTTAACCGAACATTTAACGAAATGTTTGTTTTGTTTCCCGAGGAAGTACATGTATCTGAGTGTACACACGACGTACAGCGATGGCCAAAGAAATCCAACCCACGGGTCACAGGTAGCGTGGCGTTTCCTTTTCAATTTCATCATGCACGTTCCAAAAAATGATCTAAAATTTTTTTTAACAAAATGAACTACAGCTGTGGCCAA